GGGGGGGGGGGGGGGGGGGGGGGGGAGAGAAGAAAGTCACAGGCCTGCTGTTGGGAACGCCGAAGTGCTTGGACAGAAGGGAATATAGAAGTGCAAAGTACTGGTATTGTGCTAACTAGAACATTAGTGTGGCTGGAAGAGAAAACAGGCCACAGCTGAGACTGTTTTACAAGCCTTGGGCTCATTTCCCAGATTAGAGATATTTAGGGCCCAAGCTTTACTTTGTCTTCTGACTGGTTATCAAGGTTTGCTTTCTGCTTCCAGCATCTCTAAAGATCATTGATTAATAACCCTCCCACTGGAGGGCTTCCAATTGCACAGGAAGTTGCCATGCACCAAAATGGATCACAAGCCATCAGCAGGTGCTTGGCAGCCTCTCTGCATCAGGCTCTATGATTTCCAATGGGTGCTTACCCCAGCTCAGGAACCTAGCTCAGGCACTGCATTCTCCAGTGCCTGCTGGGAGTTACACTAAGGAGGAGGAACAGGAGACTGGTTTTCAAGTATTCATAAGCAGCAAAGCCAGATGTGTTCACCAAAGCAACATTTCTTTAAGGCCCAGTGTATCTTTTTAAGGTGACAAGAAAATGGGAGCTGCTGGGTTAGTTATCAGTCAAGCAGCAGTGAGTAAACTGCTGAACGCTCTTGTTCCAGTTACTACCACTGGGCCTTAAATGCAGTTAAGCTCAAAGACTACTGGAGAAGGGGGAAGGAGGAGAAAGCTGGATAATTCAGGTGGGATTTAACACGTGTTGACACAGATGTGTCTTTGTAAACCTGTTCAAGAGAATCATTTGCTTCTGGGTGTTTGGCTCAAAGGCTTTCCAACTGTTAGATATCAACCCAAAAGAAAAACAGGACATTGGCACAGATACTGCAGAAAGGTGAAAGAGTACGTTGGGCAGATGAAAGCCACCAGATCTTTGTAGAAGCATAGGAAAGTAAGGCCGGCAGGGCCCCCAGGATGTCACCTAGTCCAATCCCCTGCTCTAGGCAGGATCATCCCTCTAAACCTTTCAAAGAAGATAATGTATTCTTACTGTGCCAACAGCTGTACAAACTAAAGATGCCTTACAAGAGGGAGAATAAAGGGTGGAGATACAGAAATTAAATTATTTCAGCGACAGCATGGATTGTTACAATAGCAATACATTACATGCCTAAAACCCAAGCTGTTTTTATAGCTACATCCACAAGACACTTGCACCCAGCTCTTAGGAACTGAAAGAGCCCAGTAGCAGTGGTTTTATACAGACATGGCATTATGAAGTCTCTCCTGATTACACAGCATGTACTTACATGTGTGCTCACACTCTTAGAGTTGTGTGAACTGGAGGCATTGAAATCAAAGCGAAACCAACTAACCAACCAAAAACCCTGAACCTGGCTCTGCCATAAGTCAGCCACTCGAGAGCTCAGCATGTTAAAACCAGGCACTTACTTTAAGTTTATCAAGCCAGGGCCACAGCCAGTGTGCGCAGATAATAGGCTGCATGTGTTCAAACATGTCCCACCCCACACTTTGATGTCACTTGTCTTTTTAGGGAATGCGAACACCCTGATCCTTGCCGCACTACAATGCAGGGATATGAGAGCCTGCTTAGGTCCTCCTAGCAGCACAGCCAAAGAAGACTGGAACATAGGAGTGGACCCAAGAAGCTGGTTTAAACACATTTAATCTTGCAAGGTGGCTGGCTGGCTGGCCGGCCTCAAGAGTAGGGTGCAGGCCTTTTTCAGCATGTAACAGAGGTCAGTGAAGGTCTCTATCAGAAGGTAAAGTTTTGCATTTCCTAAATACTGGAGGCAGAGATTTTTTAGAACCATCTAAGGGACTTGGGCACCCAACTTCCATTAATTTTTACACAACAAAACACACACCCAAGTCCCTCAGGCAGCATCAAATTATCTCAGCCCCAGTGTTTAACTGGAATTTTGCTTTGGTGTTGCGTGGATGTATGTTTTTGTATTTATATAACAGGGGTGGGGGTTGAAATCTGCCCCCATCTTGAGTAGAGTGGTTCCCTTTAAGCCCAAAGCAGCTGCTGGACAACTCAAAGGACCCTTCCACAGTTTAGATTTCACATTTCCTGATGCAGCATGGGGGGAGGACAGGTCACCTGTCATACCCCTTTTAACTTTACCCTCTGCTCCCAAACAACTGAACAGTGACTGGCCTAGGCAACTTGACTATGAAAGGGGACAGAATGGAATATTTGGAGAGGAGCAGGGGAAGAATTGTAAGAATTCTTGGATCTCTGCTTGGTTAGCAGCTGGCGTGGGAAAGAAGTATGTAGTCCCGCTCAGGCCCCCCTCCTCCATGACAGGAGGTAGCACCAACATATGGTCTAATTCCCAACTTACTAGCAAAGGCAAATCTTGCCCTTGGACGATCAGATCACCACTCAGGCATGTGAGCAAGTGCTCACGTTTGGAAAATGATCTTAGAAAATTTTCTAAGCTGATCATGTTGCTCTGGTCCTGTTGCTTACTGGAGAAATGGAGAACATGTACATGTAGAAATGGAGTGTTTTAGGATCAGATCATTCAGCTTCTTGCTGGGAAAACAGAATGCCATCAGCACTGACCTGGGCAAAATCCCTCCCATTCTGTTAAAGCCAGCAGATGAGAGGAAGCAACTGAGGGAAACAGAATTAGGATGTTCAGCACTCAAGAAGCACTCCGTTTCTTGCAGGATCAAACCCATGAATGGTTCCTCTCAAGAGAGAAGATACGGGTGCTTGTCAGTGAAAGCTCCCTTCTTTGGAGGGCAATGGGAAGACAACAGGCAATATCCAAAAGTGACACCCCGCTTGCCAGAGACAGATTCCGATCTCAGTCACACCAGCATAACTCCACTGACGTAAATCAGGAGTCACTGAGAGCCCACTCAGGCATTTCTCTGCCTTCCCCCCAACATTACAGCATGCACTGAACTGACATCAGGAGAAGCCAAGTCCATCATTTGTTACCCAGAACTCTTATCTGCTCCTTTCAAGTCCCTAAAAATCTCTCAGAGCCAGCAAGGCATTTAGGGCCACAGAGTGGCTTGCTGAGGAAAGCAGATTAGCCTGTTTATCTGACAGCTCAATGCTGCTCTGTGAGCAGGAATTCTCTTGTGTTACGGGCCAGGGCTCACATTCCAATTTGGGCAATATGCAGGATCTCAGCTCAGGATTCGTGCCATTACCTTTTTGTGTTGTGGACTGTGGTCCCACCCAGCACAATGCGGACGCCCGGATTGGTGCGGTTGAGGTTGTAGACAGTTAAGGCTTCTTCATAGGTTGCTCCTCCAATTACAAACACAATAATATCTTGAGGCCTGCAATGAAGAGAGAGAGCTGTTGAAATTGGATGGGACAAAGCAGTGGAGAACATAGCACAGGGGTAAATCCTGTGCCAACCTAGGGCAGAGTCAATGCTCCAACAGATTTTCCCCACTGCCGATTCCTTCAGAGTCCAAGGACACAGACCAACAGTGATGCAGTGACCCATTACGTGGCATTTGAATGCTGTACCTGCTAAACATTTACACAGCATGCCAACGGTGCTTAAAAAGCTCCATACACCTCCTCAACAACACCCACACCCTGCCTGTACAACACAGATCCACCATGACACATCCGCCAACGTTTAAAGCATGATCACAATGCTGCTGGGACTGTTAAATTAAGATCAGTCTAGGAGTCAAACTAGGACAGCAGTGGCACTTCAGACCTCTTGGGCTTGCTTGGCTTGAATGGCAAGGATCAGCAGCAGTTTCTCTGTCTGATTCCTGAACAGCGGCAATTATATACTTTTTTTTTTTTTAATCTCTGAGATCCCAAGGGTCCCAAACCACCCTTGAAGTTCAGGCTTTTGCAAGGAAATAGCATAGGGGATGCCTTCATCGCTCCACATGCAGACACATGGCACAGTCTATTTTTGCTTTCTCAAAACCTGCACCTTGATCCTCCTCTTCGTTTCTCACTCGATAAATCACTTAGAAGCACAAGAATTTGGTCGTGGCTTACAACCCAGCTTTGCTGTCACATTAAACATTAAAAGTCCAGGAAGTTTGGAATTGCTGTCAGAGATTTCACAGCAGAAGGTGATGTATCATTCTGGGATGACTCTCATTGCTCAAGTCAAATCATTTCAGTCCGAAGGGCAGCTAGGTCTTGGCACAGTTACTCTGTGTTGTGTTCTCTTTTCCCCTTTAAGTCTAATCTCTGTCCTGCAGCCAGGTACTATATTAGACAAGAGCTGCTTGTTGCAGTGATCAGAACAGCAGGCATTCAGCTGTTCTGTCTGCACAAGCTCCTAATCACCAGCAAAGCAAACAGACCAAGGGACAAGGATGACTGCTCTGAACACGTGTACTCTCCATCCCTGTTGGGAAGGAGATCTGCAAGGCCCTGGCCCTGTTATTGCTCAGCACAAGAGATACTGGTGGTATCAGAACAGAAGGCTAATGTCAAGAGATGGGACCACAACATAAGCCACTTCACAGGGTCAGCACCTCTGTTTCACAGGTTGACCAGAAGCCCCACCAAAAGAACAGTGGCCACTAGTTCAGGAATAGGATGCTGGCTGAGAAGGTTGGGCTCTTCCTACTAAACCACCAAAAGGTCTTCTTGCAGCAATGTTTTTCTTTTTCTTTTTTTAAAAAGGGACCTCATCCAAATGCGGATTAGACATACCCCTTTGTTTAGCACCAGACCCAATGAAGGTACATCAGCCAGATGGCATTTTCTTGCCATAAATGTTCAAGACAAGACAACTGCTGAAACTTCCTTAGCCTGACGAAGGGTTTTTGAACCCGAAAGCTTGCTTAATAAATATTCTCCAGCTATTTCAGTTGGTCTAATAAAAGATATCAAATTCACCCAAGGAACCTTGTCTGCCAAGACAAGACAATACACACAGACTTACAGCTTCTAAGCAACTGAAGGCTCAACTTCCAGAGGCATCCTCCATAATTAGATGCCCGGATTTCCTGGCATGCAAGGCCAGTATTTAAAGATGCTTGGAAGCTCTGGGTTCTTGGCACCTAAGAAGATCAGGTCCTAGGTGCTTAGAAGTTTTGACACCTAGTATCACAGGCCACTTGGAAAAGTGCAGCCTGTAGTATTAATTATTACTAATTAAAGCAGAGAAGTCCCTTCCCATTGCACAGGTTTCTTTTACAGTCACTATATAAAATTTCTTCCTCCCGTTCTTTGGCATAGCTGGTACCTGTTCTTAAGATTCCTAGCTTGCAGCCTGCTGCATGGTTTCCTACAAAGGCCAAGGTCGTTAATCAGAGCAGAACCCTGTGTAGAAACGCCCGCAGTACAAGAATGTGCAAGCCAAGATATTCCATGCTTGCACTCTGACCACTGTGGTACTTTTACCCTGAAGATGACCTAGACCTTTCCAACCAGGAACTTTTAAAGGCAGGCAGGAAAGCCATCTGAATTTTAGCAGCTCAGCACCTGCAACATTCCCAAAGAGTCAGGGCTCCATATAATGCTCTTTCCAAGGAACTGCACTGTCCCTTAAAAAAGGAACAGGCTGTGAATTCTTCTGCACTGCAGACTCAAGATAAGCAGGTTATATATAGCAGCTGCAGAGTCATATTGTGCAGGTTCAAAATGTTTCTCCCAGGCAGACAATGGAGCTCTTGAACACTAGCAAGAACACAAGTCACTGAGTCAGACCCAGAGGACAGGAGACTGCTTTTCCACAGCTTGAGCTGGGTTGGGTATGCCTTTTTCAAAACTAAATGCAAAGCTGCTCAAGTCTTTTGGGGATGGAAGGGGCCAGAGAAGAAGCTAATCAACCATCACCTGCTGTTTTGAAGATTTCACCTCTGCTGCCATGCATGTGAGATAGGCACCAAATAGTCTGTGTCCCAGTTTGCTTCAAGGAAGAAGGTTATATATGTGATAAGGGGACCAGAAAGGTTGCATCCCCAAAAACTCCAGTCAGTTCATTAGGTCTTTAAACTTCAGCAGTATGAACCAGATCAGTAAAGCAGCAGGGTAACAAAATAATCATTTTGGGACAGGGAAATAGTTCCTTTACCAGTTGCATCCATTCCTG